GATGTATGCCAGGCGCGTCGCAGCGTAACAGTGTTTCGTGAGATATCGCGAAGCCTGTTACGCGAGACGTGGTCTGGCGTACATCTACCTAGTTTGTATGTTTGTTTGTTTGTCTGTCTGTCCGTCTGTACGCACGATAACTCGAGAAAGAATTGAGATATCGATCTGGGAATTTCAGGGTTGTTTTGTTTCATAAAAAGACAGACCGAGTTAGAAGATGAGCACTCTAGCTCAAAAATTGACTTTTTTTAAAATCAACAAGCAGGTCCGCCCTTCCCCCAAACGGAGTTGCCAGCTCCACTTCGCTGCGCCGGCAAATCCGTTCGGCAGGGGCCGGGCCTGCTTGGCCTGCCGGCGGCGATGGTCGGGCCTTTGGCCTGACCATTTCATTCTCGCGATTTACTGAAGTGCATCATCAAATAAATAATGTGACCGGTGAATCACTTTGCATATTTGAGTAAAAACTAGGTAGATGTACGCCAGACCAAGTCTCGCGTAACAGGCTTCGCGATATCTCACGAAACACTGTTACGCTGCGACGCGCCTGGCATACATCTACCTAGGCCTGCGGCGCTGACACCCGAGTCGGGAAGCGCAAAAATGTACACAAAGATACGGGCTTTCGGCCCGTCAACTTCCCGCCACTTCGACTAAGAATGCAGGGTTCTACATTTTTTCGCTTATTTTCGTCAAAATCTCCTTGTGGCGCCTAAATGGTTAAAGATAGAGCCAAACGGACGAAATTTACGCCCAAAGGGCTCTACTTTGATGAGTTACCCCTTAGGAAACTGTAAAAAAATATTTTTAAAAAACGTCATTTTGAGGACCTGTTGTTTTTGATTTTTAAAAAATCCAATTTTTGAGCTAGAATGCTTATCTTCGAACTCGATCTGTCTTTTTATGATACAAAACGACCCTGAAAATCCCAGGTCGCTAGCTCAATAGAGTATTCCGCTGGTGGCTACTCTCGAACTCGAAAAACAAATGCACCGGAAGTCGCCGCCCCGAGTATGAGAAATCGAGTGTGCGGTAGCTGCGCGGGCAGCCGGCTGTCGTAAACAAACCGGAGAAAGTGTTTAATGCGATCTACTGTGATACTTGACGTAGACAGGTGAGGAAAAAAACTTTTCCGACTAAATCGAGTGCGGGGAATTTATTTTTGATACTTATTCAGAGTAATTCTGCGTTTTTCACTTGATTTCCTCTGGAAAGGTGTCTTTTAACCCTATCGTTTCGAAGAAGGGAAGTGTTTTTTTGACAATTTAACATACTTAAATCAATGTTCAGCAATAGATTTGGGTTATTTCCCCTCCTCATAAATTTTTACACCATTTTTATCCGTCTTTACATCAGATTGACAACTTTGTTAGGCGATTGTTTGGGTGTTTCACCTGCAACACATTATGCCTCTGCAAAGTGCTAGTGACGTGAGTACTGTAGTACAGTTTTTACCAAATCTATCTATGAATCGACCTTTAATGTTTTTGAATTAAGCTAAAATTAATTTCAGCAGGGCAAATGGAATAGTTGGCAGCCACCACCAACTCCAGCTTCAAGCCTTTATCCGGCTCTCGGCGTCAATTCATGGACTGTTCCAGCTCCAGTTCCTCATGTTGATAATGGGATAGCCAATTTTGGAAACACTTGTTTCATAAATGCAACCTTACAGGTAATGTTCCACTCCGTGTCTTCCATGTACTTTCTTTTTATTTTCCTAAGTTCTTCATCTGTTCTTGTACAGATCCTTTTCCATGTCCCCAACTTTGTGCGGTGGCTACAGAATTCCAAGCACCTGATGTCATGCTCAGCGTTAACATGCATGACCTGTCAGCTTTTGAAGACATGGAGGCAGATGAGGTCATCAATGAGCCCTTTTATTCGACCAGCCGTATTTGTATCTTCAGTCCGAGGTATGTTGAAATTACATGGTATTATAATAACTATTATTGTCAGGAAAGTATACTCTATTTTATTGATTTGAAAAATTTCAATGCTTCTCCAGCTAAATTTAAAACACCCAATAGAAACAAAACGTCCCAGGAGGATGCCCATGAGTTCTTGGTGTTTTTACTAGCACAACTTCATGAGGACTTCATCAATCATGATGCCCCAAAGAGGTAATCATGAAAGAATGTTTACTGTGAAATTAGCTTATTGTGTTACCTTATGAACATTTAATTTTGAGCTCTTACCGTTTTTATTTTATTTTTCCAAAGTATTGATTTTATAAGCGAGCAGACAACTCCTATTTCAAGGATTTTTGGAGGCTGGTTGAAAACTAAATGTAAGATTTATGTTATGTTTTGTGTTATTGTTTTTGGTCCCCTAATCTTTTGCTGTAATGTTGTAAGCCTTCACATTTCAGGTACATGTGAAAACATGAATTGTGCTTATGTATCAGAGACATATTCTCCTTTTACATATATTACCTTAAATTTGAATGGAGTCTCAACTGTACAGGCTGCTGTAAATAAATATTTTGAGCCTGAATGCCAAGAATTTAAGTGTTCAGCTTGTCGTCAGGTGGGCAAGACGAACTCCAAACAGTTTGAAATTCATGAGGCAGCTAACACCATCTTTATTGTCTTGTTGAGGTGGGATGTTGTGCGTTGGGACCTCTTCCTTATTCACTCTTAGTAAATCAGATTGTATCTAAGGCTTATGTTTGCAGATTCCGATCTAATGGGTCCAAGATTGACTCAAGGGTGAGTCTAGATGATATTGTATCATTTCCTGATGGCACCAAATATCAGCTGGCTGGAGCAGTAATGCACCTAGGCTCACAATCAAAGAGTGGGCACTACACAGCTGTTACAAAGTGCACTGATCAATCCTTTAGAGAGTTTGATGACAAATTTGTAAGTAACACTAATTGTATTACAAGTAATGAAATATAATACCCTCTGAAAGAATGTGAGCTGCCATTTCAAGATATTTCCTTTCATGTAGGTGAATGATGTCGAATGCATTTCTCATCATAAATATGAGGAGAATGCATACATTCTGACATACACCAAAACTGTGTCTGTTGTCTATGCTAGTCCTGCAAAAAAAAGTAAATTTATTGTTGCCGAGTGCAGCCAGCAAACTTTGAAACAGGTACTACGGTAATAATGTTCATACTTTATTTTAAACTCTACATGATTATGATTTAATGTGACATTTCTACCTCTGCCACAGGGCTCAGGGCTCAGGGCTAGTCCAGGGAACAGGTTCATTGTGTCCCCATTATTTATTAATCGAACCAAACGAGCGCAGCCAAAGGTAGAAATTTTGTTCAAGCTGTCTGAAGTTTGTTAAATAATGACCAAAAAAAATTCAATTTCTATATGTTGTAGGTTTCGTCTAGTCAATCCTCCCACGACTATAACATAGTCTCACAGGTGCATGGGTTGGATAATGACAATGAAGATTTAGGATGCAAGCCTCTGGTATACATTTATCCGTCATTGGTTTTCTGTAACTTTTTAATGTAAATGGACTACTACATGTATATCTTGTCCTTTGCAGGCTGATACGGGTCAACCTTCCATCCCACCCCTAGTCATTGCTCGTAGTAGGAGGAGAAGTCTGAAGGTAAAAATTATTACCACAATTTTTTTTTTCGTTGCATTGCTGTGGACCTTTCTCTATCTACATCTATTTTGCCCTGGAAGGTGTCGTCAAGCCAGTCTTCCCATGACTATGCAATTGTATCACAGACATTCAACAGAGTTGAAAATGCAGGCACCACCCCTTCGTCAGCAAGAAGTTCACTATTTTCTGTCCCCCTTAGTCCTTGTCAGTCTGAAAATTTACCTGTACATGACAGTACTGACCTATTTGCTACTCAAGATGATGAAACTCACCTAGAATCTGAAGTGAGCTCTTCTCTTATATCAACATATTATGTGCAATAATACTTTTGCTAGCAAATATCTCCCACTTGTTCATTTCAGGCTGGTAGCTCAACAAACGAGAATTGGGAAGATGAGAGGAGAGAAAGTCAATTTGAAGTGAGTCTATTTGTAAATATATGTCTGTACATATAATGAAGGGATTTAATACCACACACATCTTGATTTCAGCATGACGTTGCACTCAGTTGCCCTAAAACTATACATTCTGAAAGCAGGGTGGTTGATGATATAAATTCAGATAAAGAATCGGAAGTAAGGCTAAGTTTCATTACTGTCATTTATTATTTTTACAGCTGCTCAGGTACCAATTATCACTTTATTTTAGGTCATCTCTTCACCCCAGTGCTCAGTAAATGCTGGTGGCAGGAGAAACTTCAAACCCATAATATTGACAGAAGGAGAGGTGGATGGTGCTGTTCTGCCACACTTCCTAGTTAGCAGTAATAGTAATGATGAATTAAGAAGGTACCTGAAGTGTCGAGGATATCCAACCCATGGGAACAAAGCCACTTTGGTTGAGAGGTTGTACTACTACGTCTTACTGTCATGTGATTACAATCCATTTGATTTTCATTGTTCTAAAACTTCTTATTGCATAGGGTCACATTGGTGAAAGCTAAAGCGAATTCCCACATTCTGGATCCAAAAATTGACAAGGGAAAATGGTATAATGCCAAGGTTGCTTCACTTCAGAAACAATCTGAGGTAAGAATTCTATGCCGTTGCATATTACAATCATATGAATATGACTGACAGTGTGTTTATTACCAACTATTTTTTGTTGCAGATTACCAGCAGCCAAGGCATAACTCCTAGTCAACAAAATTTATCTTTCCCTTCACTAGGCTGGAAACCTTTCCCTAGTGTGGACATCCCACTGATGTTTAATTATGGACATATATACCATTATCTTGTTGAAAGCAGGCCTTCTCTGCCTCTTGATGATGACGATTCTGAATATGACTTGGAAGACTGCAACAGTACTCCTACAGACCCTTTTGATGAGGAGTATGAATCTCTGAATGAGGTGCAGACTCTACGGAAGGGTCTGAGATTTCTGAAGAGTAATCATGTGCGAGCCGTTGAAGATACCAAAGAAGGCAGCTGTTTTTTTGTAAGAGCCCAAGTAAGGGCATCAATGGCGCTGGCCCTGGGAAAAAAAGTAAGTGGCAAAGTGCAAGTGAAGTGGCAATTGAGTGTCACTTTGTTGCCACCTTGCTAAGGTGGCAGCCAAGTGGATTTTGACATTTTAAGTGGCAAGGTGGCGAGGGGGCACGCAAGAGGCAGAAAGGAGGCAAAGTGGCCAGCAAGGGTTGAAGAGGCTAGCTGGAGGCAAAGTGGCACTTGAGTGGCAGCATAGAGGCCAGGGGGCAAATACGCCCTCAGATAAGATTTATTGACTTCTATGGCTTTGCTTGGACCAAAGGGACTTTTGCAATAGCAATAGAGGACTTCAGAGATCAATATATTTTATTTATTTTTTCTACCTTATATCCATAATTTTTTTTGAAAAAAAAACAAAAAACAAACAGACTGTTTGCATTGGTCACAAGAAGGCTAGCTCTTGTCATCACAAAAGAAAATATCACAAACTTGAACTTAGCAAAAACTTGAACAGAAAAACTTGAACAGAAAAACTTGAACAGAAAAACTTGAACAGAAAAACTTCTTTGAGGAGAAGGCAGAGGAAAAGGAAGACCTAATGGCAGGTGACATCTTGCGCGGCGCTTCTTAATTACTATCAGAACTGTAAGAAATAAAATAGATTTGGTGGAAATTTTATGAAAGATAATATCATTTTACATTAATTTTAAGTACTAACCCACTGACACCACCAGCTTCACCAGCTTCTTCTTCTTCATCATCATCATCTTCGGAAGCAGTGACATTTTGTGATCTCCCTTCCGACGATCTGTACATGTTGGTGGCCTTGTCACCCAGAAGCCCTCCCAAATGTTTCACCAAGTAAGTGAGAGTAGCTTTCCTCCTCTTTGTCCTATCCTCCTCTGACTCCTCTTCTAAAAAACTGGCCCACTCCTCCTCATTAAGTTCAGGTGGTCCATTTTCATTTTTCTTCTTAATGGGCCTTTCATCTAATATGTCAGGGTTCTTCTTGAGCCATGATTTGTAGTAATCTGATGAGGGTGAACCATGAATTACAATAAATGAAACAACAATTAGACTAGCTTTAAATAAAAAATGTTAAAAACTTACGTTCAAGAACAAAAAGGTAAGGGGGTTTGGTGGGGATCAACCTAAGGTTCTCATCGGGCTTTCTGGGCCTCCGCACCCTGTAATACTTAGCGTGCTCACCAAACACTGCCAGCAGCGCAGCATAGGCCCAGTCATCCTTTGATGTACTACTATCTATGCTAGACCACACATCATTATCGGCCATTACATTATGGCCAATGTTCACCTGAAGAACAGAAAATGTTGATTGAATGGTCGAAACTTACCAGAATAATAAAAGTGTAAAATTAGGCTTACAAGTTCGACATCTGGCATGTGGCCCTCTTTGGGATCCTTGTCCTTTTTGGACGTATTGATGATTTTATGTATGATTTTTGGTTTGGATG